CTCCCCATCTCCCCTCTCACAACGGGGTACTACATCCTGCCAACACAACTCCCCCCTCCACAACGGGTACTACATCCTGCCAACACACTACATCCACAACGGGTACTACATCCTGCCAACACAACTCCCTCCCCCTCCACAACGGGTACTACATCCCGCCAACACAACTCCCCACCTCCCTCCACAACGGGGTAGTACATCCTGCCAACACAACTCCCCTCCTCCCTCCACAACGGGGTAGTACATCCTGCCAACACAACTCCCCACCTCGCTCCACAACGGGGTACTACATCCTGCCAACACAACTCCCCACCTCCCTCCACAACGGGGTACTACATCCCACCAACACAACCCCCACCTCCCTCCACAACGGGGTACTACATTCCACCAACACAACTCCCCACCTCCCACCACAACGGGGTACTACATCCTGCCAACACAACTCCCCACATCCCTCCACAACGGGGTACTACATCCCGCCAACATAACTCCCCATCTCCCTGTACAACGGGGTACTACATCCCGCCAAAACAACTCCCCACCTCCCTCCACAACGGGGTACTACATCCCGCCAACACAACTCCCCACCTCCCTCCACAACGGGGTACTACATCCCGCCAACACAACTCCCCACCTCCCTCTACAACGGGGTACTACATCCCACCAACACAACTCCCCACCTCAGTCCATAACGGGGTACTACATCCCGCCATAACACATATCCAACAGTTCTATGATGGAATCATCTATTAACATAACTACAATATATCCCATAACACATATCCAACAGTTCTATGATGGAATCATCTTTTTACATAACTACAATATATCCCCTAACACATATCCAACAGTTCTATGTAATGTAGGTAATTATTTGCTGACACTGTGGTCTACATGATCAGGGACTGTAAGCTGCTTCTATTGTTATAGGTAGAGATACTACTGAAGCACGACTGGCAAAACCATTGGGGATTAAGTGGGCATCTCTCTGGTCAGTGAGCTAAGTTTACGAGACAGGCTCTTTTCACTATTTTATTAATTTAAGACTTTAATGATATTTACTCATAATACACAGTATATAAGTCATTTATCATAAGTCATTTTGGCGAATGCTTGGGTTTAACTTGTGCTGTATTCCTAACAGATGAGGTGGTCATAAATAGGTTAACCACGGAAGGTTACAGGTATCGTGTTAGAAATAGACGAAATAGATGCCCATCCACTGGACTTGTTCACCACTAGGTGGTCATGCAGCCATTGACACAAAGATGACATTGTGACAAGCATGGTTCTGTCCCACTGCACTTCTCGAAGACACCAAGACATCGTTTGATTATTTCCTGTCAGAGATGAAGCAGATCATTAGAGATACCCCAATGTCAGCCTTGCAGATTCACAGAGGAATTGAAATATGCAAGTGAGTGCTGCCCTTTGTCTTCTTCCCAAAAAGAAACAACAGACATAACACCAATTTTTCGATGCCATGAAGAATGAAGCTGTAAGCATCGTAATCAACACTCAAAGAGTTTTACAGACATCTGCCCAAACTGTCATCAGTGACATATACCACAGATAAGTGAAGAGATGTCCACTTTCAGTGGAGGAAGGTGCAGCAAATTGGTAACTAACTTTGAAACCAATGCCAGTGTTAAGATGTTTCTGCAACATGCTTGTTCTCTACCTGAGACACCATGGCATCAGTGGCATTTGGGTACATGCTTGGGAAGATGTGGATTCAGGTCCAGGGTCAACACATTTGCAGATTACATAACTGAGCAGTGGAATGAAGCAGAAACTGTGGAACCATTTACATAACACAGGCAACCAACCATGTGGAAACTTGATAAAACAAGAGAACATCACCAAAGTCACTTTGATGGAGGTCAGAGTCCGAGACTGCCTACCACCAAGGAAGAAGAAGTATAGATAAGGTGGTAACATGCCACACACCACCTTCAGACTGGACACATCACACCTGAACATTATCATGACACTGTCATGTTATGTTGGATGTATATCTATGTATTGTTTTACAAATTCCCCAGGGATGAAAATTGCTATTTTGTTATGCGTTTCAATAATTCACAGCTGTTGTGTCTTCCCATGTGGCCAACTTATTCCTAATTTACTCCATCCATGCTTGACATTGCCTCCTTGCTTGTAACAACAATATTTCTGCTTCCATAAGTGCAAACATCAGCTACATTTAACTAACATGGACATCCTATTACAGTAACAACAATACAATCTGCAGTTCAAACTAATGTTTATTGAGTATTAGAGCTGTCTATGTAGGCTACAGTCCGTTTGCTGCAAAATCTTACTGATGAAATAGCAAATAAATATACTTTCGAAAGCAGCAAATCACCCTAAATAGCATGAAATTTAGTTATTTGTTCATATCAAATTGCATCATGCAACAGTCCGTCAAATTGTTATTTCAGTTGACAGTAACAATGACAGTCACGATGAAAATATTTCAAACAAGACGTTTTGAGACTATCCCGTGTTCAGCGATACTCTTTAGCTGTTCTGTTTATTGTGCAGATACACTTGTTACAACAGTCATTAAAACACCAACAATTACATGATCGTTTGTTAAAACACTTTTCCCCTTCTCCATGCCAATGTCTGAAACTACAGTGACAATTTGGTATGAACAATTGACTAACTTTCATGCAATTTAAAACAATTTGTTATTTTTGAATGTATATTTATTTGCCATTTCATCGTACGATTTTGCAGCAAACAGATTATGGAAGCAAAAGTTTATGCCAATCACTGTTGACTGCATTCAAGTTTCAGTGCTATTTTGGGATTGGGCGCTTATAAGGTCATTTGCTTTATGGGACCATAACAGCCTTGCAATAAGGTTCTCTGTTCTCAGATTCCAACACACCCTACACACGCACGCATGCACAATGGAAGGATACATACGCTATGTTGATGTCATTATCTGAGTGAGACAGTTTCGATCAGAATTGCAGTCTTCAAAATCACCCATAGAAACAAGTATTCTGTTGGAGCTGATTAACTGCAGTCTGAATACCCTGGACATGGCTTCTTGTTGTATAAGTGTTATATTGGTGGTCATTTACAAAACAGTCATCATGAACAGTTTATCAACATAAAATATATGTACAAACAATTAGCTGAAGACAATAGACACAAAGAATATATATGATGTCATACAATATTATACATGGACATATGTCAACACAACAGCAAGCAACATTAACAAGCAACATATACACAACACAGAGTGTAGCACAATGAGCTGCATGTACACGGGAGCAGGCATCAACCACGTACCCAACACCATGCAGAGGGTAGAAATGAACTAAAGAGGAAGTAATAGCACTGGCAGCGGTATTGTTAGAGAGGAGGACATGTGAGAACATAGTACTGGATAACATGGTTATGAACACCATCAGCAAGAGAGCTGTATGTGAATTGTATGTGAGAATGCAGCCAGTTGACATGTGACCAACACCGTGAGAGAAAGATGAATTGTATGTGAGAATGCAGGAGGTAGACAAGCAATAAACAACATTAGAGAAGAGTTGAAATGTATGTTAAAATGCAGGCAGTAGACAAGCAGCCAACACCATCAGAGAGAAAGCACTGACATTGACATTCAACCAACACAATGAAAGAGAAAGCTGACATTATGTGAGATAAACAAAATATATAAGATAGCCAGCAGATTTGAGAGTGTTGTAATGTATGAGAGCATGCAAAGTCACACAAACAGCACAACCAGAAACAATCAAAGTTCATCTAAATACAACCACCATAGAGAGTGTTGTAAAACATTTATAAATTCAATCAAAATGACCATGAAAACTTTAACATAAGGAACATGCAACGAACACAAGAAGGCACATCACCCAACACCTTCAGAGAGGTAAAACATACAGTCGAACCTTGTTGTATCTAACTTGGAGGTGTCAGCTTCCTGATTGTCTCAGGATCATTTTCTATTTCAGAATATGAAAACACAAACCAAAATTTTCCCTGATGACTTGGACAGTTCAAAATAAATAGTATTCCCAAAGTATATAAATTTAAGGCCTGCACATTTTGTAATCTAATACATGTAAATGAGTAAAACAAAATTAAGACTATATTTGTCTTCAGTTATTTCCGCAGACAACGATGATCCTGATGGCAACAGTGAGAGCGATGATACACCTACAATATCCTATAATAAATGTATTTTAATTGCCACAATATATTTATCCTCATTGAAAGTTACGTATAATGATCCCCAATAACATGATGCATGATTTCGGAAATTGACTCTGCTTGTCAGAATACTTGAAGCAAGTTTGGAACAATAAGGTTGGACTGTATGTGATAATGTATGCAGTAGACATGCAGCCAAGACAATACTGAGAGCTCAGCAACAATGTACAGCAACAATGTACAGCAATGATGTAACAGTACATTGGCACATGACAGACAACAAGCAGGAGACACAAGGACGGCAGTCATCTATACACACACAAGCAACAGCACACAACCACCGCAACATGCAATCAACATGACACAACCCACTGGGAGCTGAAGCAGGAGAACATGCAATCAACATGACATGACACAACCACACCATGCAATCAACATGGTCTACTGGGAGCTGAAGCAGGAGACACAAGGGCGGCAGTCATCTATACACACACAAGCAACAGGACACAACCACCACAACATGCAATCAACATGACATGCACACCCACCTTACACACACAAGCAACAGGACACAACCACCACAACATGGGTCTACTGGGAGCTGAAGCAGGAGACACAAGGACGGCAGTCATCTATACACACACAAGCAACAGGACACAACCACCACAACATGCAATCAACATGACATGCAACCCACCTTCGGGGTCTACTGGGAGCTGAAGCAGGAGACACAAGGACGGCAGTCATCTATACACACACAAGCAACAGGACACAACCACCACAACATGCAATCAACGTGACATGCAACCCACCTTCGGGGTCTACTGGGAGCTGACGCAGGCACAGTTTGGGAAACTGATGAGGACATAGAGTCACGAGTCAGCAGTTTTGATCCTCTAGATGCCTGGGATGGCATCAATTTTGGCTGCGTTTGTGGTCTGTCATTGGAGACCCGGAATGTGTAGGGCTTGGATAGGTCCAAGTTGGTGGACAGCTTCGGAGACTCGGCTGAAGGACATGACCATAGAGTGCCAACATCTGTACGTCCAATAGTCACAGAACAAACACATGGCATAACACAAGACCAGGTTGCACTGAGCAATAACTTCAACAAGACAATAATATATGTACATCACTGCCTCTACATATCTCAAACCTGGCAGTTTTGAATCCTGAACTCAAAATACCTACCTACTTTTAGCATGGTGTTACAATTTAGTGACACTTTTGATACCAGAAAATCTAACTACTCTCTTCAAGTTCTCCTAGAATATCTGGGCTGGCACTGCTCAAGCTAACTTTTCTTTTCTTGGATCTAGTCTCGGTAGACTTAGGTTTATCTTGTTTCTCCTTGTTGTGAGAACTGACCACCTCTCTCCACTCCTGTCGAGAACATGATCGCGACGTACCAGTGATGATGTTGATCATGCTACGGTTGTAGGGCATAGAGATGGCCTTCACTGCCTGTGAGCTGCCCAGCAGGTCGCTGTACAAGGACTCCGGGAGGCGCCAGCGGTTCGTCTGACCCACCTGGTTCCGTACCCTGCATCGTGGCTCCACTGGATGCTGCAACAGACAGGTACAACTACAACATCTCACATGGCTCAAAATGCTCTTAGGTGTTGTAAAACACATTGCAATGTTCAGTGATGTGTGAGTGATTTATGGTCTCCATGTGGGTGATGTGTGGTCGCCATGTGAGTGATTTATGGTCTCCATGTGGGTGATGTGTGGTTTCCATGTGAGTGATGTATGGTCTCCATGTGGGTGATGTATGGTCTCCATGTGAGTGATGTGTGGTTTCCATGTGAGTGATTTATGGTCTCCATGTGGGTGATGTGGTTTCCATGTGGGTGATGTTCGGTCTCCATGTGAGTGATGTATGGTCTCCATGTAAGTGATGTTTGGTCTCCATGTGAGTGATGTGTGGTCTCCATGTAATTAAGTGTGGTCTCCATGTGAGTGATGTGTGGTCTCCATGTGAGTGATGTGTGTAGTCGCCATGTGAGTGATGTGTGGTCGCCATGTATTAAAGTGATGTGTGGTCTACATGTGGTCTCCATGTGAGTTATGTGTCAGGTGCTATCTCCTAACCAGATCTTCATGCTCTATTACAGTCCACCATGTGTGGTAGGGACACTGGCTGAAATATCAGGTGTTATCTTAATGTGCTTAAACAACTGCACACCCAACATAATTGAGAAACCTCAGACATTTATCACTTTTATCGATGAACAAATACTAGACTTGTGGAAATCAATAGCAGCTACAGCTACGAGTCAGTGAAGCGGGTGTCGTGCTGGTAATGTTATCAGCCGACCAAACAAAAGGCAGGGCTGGAACACAACCAGCAAGCTGTCAACTGGCCGCAATTCACAACTTCATTGTAATTGAACAGTAAAGGGGAAGACCTAGCTGTAAATATCATCACAACCTGTACAGAACACACAATTAATTGCCATGAAATGGATTAATCATGTTGTCATTGTGCCCACTGACACTTATCTGATTGTGAATCACATGTTGGTCAACTTCCTGTGTAATGTTAGACAGACATTACACCAGCCCAACATAATACCTGATCTCCAGGCAAGCTGCCAGACTTTCTCCACCTGACGACAGGTTTATTCCCTCTAACACAACAACAAAAATCAATGCAATACCTTGGCAGAGCACCTTCCAGTCGAAAGTGACTTGAACTGTAGTTGGTTTTGGATATCAGTATTCAATCAAATTTACATGTGATGAGTCTGGGATTGTTTTTTAGGTTTACAATCTTTTTCCAGAAGTTAGAGTAAGGGTCAGTCATAAATCAACAATCTTTTTCATTTTCTTATTTTCATAGAACATAATGCATAACAATGAGATAATTGGAATTAAATCTGACTAATGTCTGCAATTATTTGAACACTGTTTGACCTTGTAATGTCAACTTTGTGTGTGTTAATGGTAGGACTGTATGGTATTACCAGTATACTGTTAATACTGCAATATGCCTTTCAAATGGTACATATTGGAATGTTTCTTTCTCAGAACTGGTAAATTGGGTAATAAATATATGAAGTTTTGTGATAATTACTATGGTTTAGGTTAACATCTACACAGGCTTTTATTCACACTGAAGTTTTCCATTGTAAATAATTTGACAAAACAGCATACCAGTACTTTACATTGTTTGGTGATGCCATGGAGAAGGCTAGTTAGCCAGTGGACACTATACTGAAGCAGTACTCTCCACTATGGCATCAGATCATGTGATAGCAGCTCTGACCATTAACTCTCAGTAGTTTTCAGAACACAAGTAGTTTTTTCACGTTTTCGCTATAAATGTTGATTTTACTATTTTTAGAAAAAAAACCCTCTTCTTCAAAATACATGTTTTTATATGCTTCATAAATGATTTCATTTAAGATTTTTACTGTATATCTCCTTTTAGAAGCAATTGTGAATTGTTTACTGAATCAAGGCACAACATATATGTCAATTTGGTTGCTATTGTCATGGCAATATGAGAAAATGAAACACAAACATTAAGATTCACATGTTAATGGATGAAATAAAATTAAAATTGCTGAGCAACTATCAACACGTTTTAGTTTCATCAACACATCATCGAGTTCGTAAGCACTGCAATCTCGTTTCAAGTCCTGATTGAATTTATCTTAAAGATTCCAAGAAATTTATGTTCCCAACATACTAGTCATCCTTTAAAGATGTGAAATTTGGCCAAAAAAAACCTAAAAGAACTACATGTTTTTTTCCTTATTTTTATGTGCATTAACAAATTTCATAAATGACACTAACCAATTATTTTCAATGATTGATCGGTAGTAATGAACCAATGATCAATTTTGAGATTTGAACCAATTCCCAACACTATATTAGAGTATAGCAATTTCCGCAATATCGTGAGAAATTTCCCTGTTTCTCACACACAAAAATACCAAATACCACTAGACTTTTACTTAACAACTCTAAAGGCAACATATGTTATATTTGGGATTACACTTTCTTAGTAAAGTAGAAATTCTAGTACTATTTGGGGTTGAGTCCCATCCGGGATTCGAACCCACACAGTGCACAGTATACTGATCCCAACATTACATAATGGACAGGAAGCATGCAGACCTGAGGTTACATACCTCACAATATACTTTCAATCTTGGTTATTTATTGACATACAATGAATCCTGAATGATCAGGTAAATATATAACCATTTGAAGTCCCTGGTACTTTATAGGAAATGTTGTGTTGAGTGTAAAGAAAGAGCCCACTTGAAGGTGAGTTATGTGGCTATAATGTCACTCAGCACCAGCAGATGGTGTAATGAGTCCCGGGAGAGGGAGAGCTGCCTCAGTGCCACACGCCTTCTCCTCCATCATGCTGCAAGCCTAAGGGGCCGCGGAGGTGAAATGATCTCAACACTAACGACAATGTAATAAGATTACTGGCTCAGTCTTATCTCAAATATTGAGGGAAATGAAACAGAGTGAGCAGGAAAGATGTTTCTTGATCATCAACAAGTATGCCCCTTAACTTCTTGCGAGTCATGAATTGTTGCACACAAGATAAATTGTTATACCACCACGTTTAATGATTACCCAGTGTACATAGAGTAGAAGTGGATCAAGTGTCATTACACTCATCTGTGTTATTGTCGTGGCCAACAGAAACTGACCTTATGTGTTATTGTCATGGCCAACGCAAACTGACCTTGTGTGTTATTGTCATGGCCAACACAAACTGACCTTGTGTGTTATTGTCATGGTCAACACAAACTGACCTTATGTGTTATTGTCATTGCCAACACAAACTGACCTTGTGTGTTATTGTCATGGTCAACACAAACTGACCTTGTGTGTTATTGTCATGGCCAACACAAACTGACCTTGTGTGTTATTGTCATGGCCACCACAAACTGACCTTGTGTGTTATTGTCATGGCCACCACAAACTGACCTTATGTGTTATTGTCATGGCCAACACAAACTGACCTTGTGTGTTATTGTCATGGCCAACACAAACTGACCTTGTGTGTTATTGTCATGGTCAACACAAACTGACCTTATGTGTCATTATCATGGCCGACACAAACTGACCTTATGTGTTATTTTCGTAACCAACACAAACTGACCTTATATGTTATTGTCATGGCCAACACAATCTGACCTTATGTGTTATTGTCATGGCCAACACAATTTTAACTGACATTATGTGTTATTGTCATGGCCAACACAAACTGACCTTATGTGTTATTGTCATGGTCAACACAAACTGACCTTATGTGTCATTATCATGGCCAACACAAACTGACCTTATGTGTTATTGTCATGGTCAACACAAACTGTCCTTATGTGTCATTATCATGGCCAACACAAACTGACCTTATGTGTTATTTTCGTAACCAACACAATCTGACCTTATGTGTTATTGTCATGGCCAACACAACCTGACCATATGTGTTATTGTCATGGCCAACACAATTTTAACTGACCTTGTGTGTTATTGTCATGGCCAACACAAACTGACCTTATGTGTCATTATCATGGCCAACACAAACTGACCTTATGTGTTATTGTCATGGCCAACACAAACTGACCTTGTGTGTTATTTTCGTAACCAACACAAACTGACCTTATGTGTTATTGTAATGGTCAACAACATCTGACCCAACCTGGTATTGAGCCCCTGCTAACACACACTTCCTGTATACTCACCCTGTCTGGTATTCTCCCATCTACAATCACCCCACTGAGGGCAGAATATGGGGCCTCATTGACAGCTCTGAAAAAGACCAAAACACCTTTATTAAAACATTACCTGGACATTTCAGTTCACATTACAGCTGTACTACCTGGCTTGTGCTGAAAACTTTCTTACTTCTAGCTACAATGTTCAGTAGTGGTAATATATCAAGTATTCTACCAACAGAGCAGCCTTGTCATAGTCTCACACTAATTTGTTTGAAAGGCACCAACAAATTAATGCTCTGTGGGGCACATTGCAGATGGGTGTATTTCATATAATTATGGAACTCAAAGACTGTCTCAAATTATGTTTATATCACTCCGCCAGTTGTTTGAAATACTGAAATAAAACAGCTTTGACACAGTTTTTGAGTTCTTTCCGTGATCATATGAAATACACCCATCTGCAATGTGTTTCACTCAGCCTGTTGTCTCAATTACTGAATGTAACCATCCTGAACTGGCTGCCTAATGCTCCCATCTAGTGCCTTTCATTGGCTGAAACTGATCAATGTTTTAATCAGAACTGAGCTCACACATTTTTTGAAAATATACTTATGTAAACTTTGGAACAAGAAGAAGATATGAATGATTTTGAAAAACACAGTGTACCAATATTTTCCAAAAATATTGTTATATATATTATATAGTATGTCATATCATGATATACCAGTAATATTATACAATTATACACTCTTGTAGAGGTCGATATCGGTTTTTATTGACCTGAGTAAAACAATACCGACCGAGCTTGCGAGGTCGATATTGTTTTTCTCAGGTCAATAAAAACGATATCGAATTCTACAAGAGTCTATAATTGTTTTATTATATAATGAAAGAGAAACGGGTTTTAACATAAACTTTTAATGCACACACTGTACCATCTTTCCGAGTGATCTGACTGGCTGAAAAGCGTGGGAAGCCCCTTCGTACGGGATTCCTTGTCTATTTTTAGTAACCCAAGTCAATATTGTAATTTATCAGAAAACTCAAGTCAATATCGTGTTTTGTAGTCAATCATGTGACGGTCTTTCGACCAATCGTGGTACAGGAAAAATACTACCTATATAATAAACCGAGTTAGTGATGTACACAAAGTGCATATGAGACATTGTGACACTAAGGAAAGACAGGAAAACTAAGAAATGTAGAAGTTTTCACGGAACCTGCTTCACAACTACACATGGTTGAAGCATGATTAAAAAAAGAACTATGACAAGTCAGCTTTATATAAACTTAGTGAAATCTTACTCAAAGACAAAGATAATTTTAGAAGGAGTTCCTAAAAGAGAGATGCAACTGAAAGATGCACCTATAAGGTTAGAAATTATCATACTGGTATGTCACATCTCAGAATACAATCAATTTCTAGTCCTACTAAAAGTTGTGAGCTCCAGAATTTCTATAATGGTAGATGTGTCTGTGTACAAGTTAATGTCACTTGCCCAAACTAGATTTTATGATTGTTTTATGAGGTGATTTATGTTACTGCAGTAGTACAGCTCCTATCTGATTAATTTATCAATTGCTATTGCCTGTAGGTGATCCTATCTAACTCATAAAACGAGCAAGCAACAATAACAACCAATATTCAGAGGAGGAATTATTTGACCTACAGTATCTATGGCAAATATGTGAATAATTTTCAATTCTTGTTTTATTTTGAAAGCTCACTATTATGGATATCATTAAAATATACCCATTTGAGTATGTAAAATACCCTAGAAGTTTCTTTTCAAACACTTAATCTCTGAAAAACAGACCTACCTGATTTTTAATGGTTTAAGTGTTTTCCTAGGGTGTTCATTACAGCATATTGGGTAACTAAAACTTCAGATTTCTCATTACATGATTTTTTTTCATGCACATGGCTCTCAAATTATTGTATCAGTATGTAGAAAATGTGTGATTTCGTTTCTTCTATATCCAGTTAAAATAAGGAAAGCTGTTCTTTGACTTGCTCAATTTAAAATCGCCCCAAAATTTTCACATTTTCTAGAAAGACCTTGATTTCTATGCACTTTAACAATTCTTCTTGTCTGAAGCTTCTGATAACATACAAGCACATTGATCAACACTATTCTGTTACTTCCATGAAAGTTACAAAATAACCTTTAGAGTAAGCACCACAAACTTCACAAGCACATGACAATACCTTACAATTATTGCAATTATTGACTTTGTGCATCCATACTTTGGAGTTAGCTGAGTCAAACAATATATATTTCAAACCTTACAATGATTTAATACTTGTATGCAACTGCCTGGAGCAATGCAGTTCATTTTAATTTTGACATCACAGGTTTGAGTCAAAGGCCATGTTTGTTTCTGGTAAATTCTTTTAAATTCGTCTGTTTACTTTAATGAAGTATACAGGTTTCGTGCAGGTAAATACTTCAGTATTATACCAGAATGTGCTGGAGGCATATGATCCACCAGATAAGGTTTGAACTGTAAGAGACAAGACTCAGAATGATAAACTCGCGAACACCCTCGACACGCAAATTAACTAACTTGTGCTGAACTTTGTTGACATGCAATGCTTGAGAAGTTGACAAGTGAGTGGGCCGCGGTCTTCATGGTGTTATAAAACGATGTTCATAAATCATAACATCCATAAAACAAACCATATATTCATAAATTACACCATTTAACTTACTGTGAATATGAAATTGCTGGTGGTGGTGCTTTTGGTGGTATGGCGGGAAAATATGAGTTAGAAATCTTGGGGAGAGGATACACGCTGCTAGACCCCGCCATCTTGGATCCCGTCGCTAAGCACGCTACTGCGGGACTGCTCGATGACAGGGGCTATACAAAAAGTTGCTCCCAACAAATAATCCTAATAATTAATTCAATCCCAACTGAGTGTATACCATTTCGTAGCATGTCATTATTTTTTATGGATGAAATAATTTTCATTCATAGGGCAAATTTTTGATAGCACGATCAGTAACTGTTGAAAAGGCTTTTGTGAGTGAGTGAGGTGTGTCTATATCTACAAAAAAACCAGTCTGTACATCTAGTTTTAATTTCTATTTCTCTGAGGAGTACAATAAACTTTGATCACTATATAGCCAGGTACCGTTCATATAATTTATGGCTAGGGGTTGGGGTGGGGGTGATGATGATATTAAGGGGGTCACCCATTTTGTTCTGGGGAGCTAGGGGTGGGGGCATCATTTTTTGTGTGCACACGTACTACGGGGGTGGGGGTCAGCAATTTTGTACATAAAAATATTTTTAAATTATGCTTCAAAATTATGGGGAGGGGCCCGGGTGTGGGGTCATTGATTTTGTACATGACATGCAGTGGGGTCACTTATCTTGTACATACATCTTACGGGGGGTCATTCACATTGTACATGCTTCTCCATAAAAATCATCATCACCCCCTTAGCCATGAATTATGAAGGGTCCCTTAGTGAAATCTGCACCTGATAGCCACCTTAATTTACTTGCATCCTCGCGCCTGTAAGGAAGAAAAGGAGCTGCTATTCGTCTCTGCTCACCTGAATGTGCATTATGAGCATTATGAAGAGGGCTAGAGAGAAATGAGTGAAAAGTTTTCTTTTGTGTTATATCAACTCATGTGTTATGTGATATAGGCGCCTAAACTACCGTCACCACATTTGTTATGAAATGACCAAAGACGGAGAGCATACAAACTGATTAATTTCTATAAATGTATTTGGAAATCCTATATGTGTTTTTAGCGAGACCATTTTGACTAGAGGTATCACACTGACCTCTTTGTATCTATTCTGACCAATGGGTTTAATGTTGTCGTTTTGAGTGGCACTTTATAACAAAGTTTAAGATTCCCTAAAAGATAGGCACGATGAAGAGTTTACATTTGGAAGGGAATCTGTAAATACTGTGATTGTCAGGCTGAGCGCAACATACAAAGTCAAGCATATTTTAGTGGAAACGATATGTTATAGTACTCATAGTGTAAACCTAATCCTCTCGCTGCCACGAAAGCAAGAAACACACCCTGGTAAATGTTGCCTGGCTCCAGCAGGGAAATATGTGTAGGATAGAAAATAGTAAGATTTTGGTTCCAACAACATGTTTCCACAATTTCAAAGTTGCGACACATTTTCATATATACTGATTAATTATATATGGATGTTTTTAACAGTGTTGTTATTTTTCTCTCGATATTTAATAATATTAGCACACACCTTTTGACCTCTTCTTTCAACTGCATAGTTACATATTCTCGACGTTATCACATAAGTAGTACTTATAGGCTTATTGGTCAGCGTGTGCTGTCAAATGCTCACATGTTTCATGGTAGTCATTGTAACACCATCCATATACACAGTCATGTTGGTGTCATGGTGTAGTTTTTAAAATACTTGTAAGTCTCTAAATGTTGACTTGAAGTGTCGGGTAATCAAGCTCGGTGAATCGGTTCACGGTGTTTGTTTGTTCCCTGACTGTGTGGATATTTGCTCATAGTATCAGTCATTGGTTTGTGTCGTTCAGACTTTATTTTGTACAGGCCGCCTTTATTTGTATATAGCTGGAATATTGCCGAGTGCGTTGTTGAGCAACATTAAAATAGATAAATTATAATAAATAAAGAATAATCTATAACCAAAGTGACAGTTTTCCGTGGCGTTTGACTGGCTGACAAAGCCATAGTTACGGTGTATATGTTTCCCTAAACCGCACAACAATGTAGACGTATAGATACTGAGAGAAAAAAAATAAGGATCACAGGAAAATTCAAGCATTCCTTTAATATTTTCCAGTTTTCATCACCAGCTTTGAATAGCGCTGTAGTGCTGAAAACTGGATATTAATAAAGGAACGCTTGACTTTTACTGTGATCCTTAGTTTTTTTCTCTCAGTATATTTATAACTGACTGACTTCAGTATGCTTGTTTGTGTTTGTGGGGGTGTAAATGTGCAAACAGGTACGAAAACACACGGCTTATTCGTCTTTACTTTCATAAACACAAAAACTAGAGAAACCTTACCCAAATGAAGCGCCCATAAAATATATGCATACCGCTCCGTCAGCGCTGTCTGTTCCCGCATTGGAGTTCATTTAACGCCCGAAACGTTTGTGAACCTCGCCTTAGCATGGCATCACGCTCATTACCATGGCAACGAGTAATGGAAATAATGAGAACAACTACACAATACCACACCACTACAATATTTTTTTTATTCTTGTTTCGCACTGTATGCAAAATGCAACTACCTTCTCTCTATAGTTTAAGGACCGGAATAAAATAGTACGTCTTCGATGCCACTGTACACGGGGATATGTGAAAACAGTGTATATAGTACACACACTCACGGGGCAGCAGTAACGTGATGGAAACGATTGGGCAGGGTGTTGAACATGGTCTGAAACATTAACATGTTGACTTTGTTGATTTGAAAAATTGCGTATCTTTAACACACGTTGTCTGTGCATATTTCAAGAAATGTACAGTTCAGATATCCTGGAAAAGTCATTACCTACATCTGATATGTTACATAGAATACATAGTAACACGAATTTATGAAAGAAGACGCGGTGTAATTACTTTCTACATTGGAAGGCAGGCATAATACTGATGTTTTCTTCAGTTAAATGTGATTGTTGCCTTTAAGGAATCGCTTTCATCTTCAAGAAATGTCCCAAATTTACTTTGATCTTCCAGATATATTACTGAAGTAATTTGTCCTTCTACAGATATATCACGGATCTCATCAAGGGAGATGAACAAGACAGTTATATTACTAGTGCCACAGCATGGCGACATTACACCCTGGTCTGTAGCTGTTGACCTCATTCCCAGGATACACCCTGGTCAGTAGCTGTTGACCTCATTCCCAGGCTACACCCTGGTTTGTAGCTGTTGACCTCATCCCCAGGATACACCCTGGTCTGTAGCTGTTGACCCCATTCCCAGGATACACCCTGGTATGTAGCTGTACATCGCATCCCCAGGATACACCCTGGTATGTAGCTGTAGACCTCATCCCCGGGATATACCCTGGTCTGTAGCTGTAGACCTCATTCCCAGGATACACCCTGGTCTGTAGCTGTAGACCTCATTCCCAGGATACACCCTGGTCTGTAGCTGTTGACCTCATCCCCAGGATACACCCTGGTCTGTAGCTGTTGACCCCATTCCCAGGATACAACCTGGTATGTAGCTGTACATCGCATCCCCAGGATACACCCTGGTATGTAGCTGTAGACCTCGTCCCCAGGATACACCCTGGTCTGTAGCTGTAGACCTCATCCCCAGGATACACCCTGGTATGTAGCTGTAGACCTCATTCCCAGGATGCACCCTGGTCTGTAGCTGTTGACCTCATCCCCAGGATACACCCTGGTATGTAGCTGTAGACCTCATTCCCAGGATACACCCTGGTATGTAGCTGTAGACCTCATTCCCAGGATACACCCTGGTATGTAGCTGTAGACCTCATTCCCAGGATATACCCTGATATGTAGCTGTAGACCTCATTCCCAGGATACACCCTATGTAGCTGTAGACCTATGTAGCTGTAGACCTCATTCCCAGGATACACCCTGGTATGTAGCTGTAGACATCATTCCCAGGATACACCCTGATCTGTAGCTGTAGACCTCATCCCCAGGATACACCCTGGTCTGTAGCTGTAAACATCATTCCCAGGATACACCCTGGTATGTAGCTGTAGACCTCACTCCCAGGATACACCCTGGTATGTAGCTGTAGACCTCATTCCCAGGATACACCCTGGTATGTAGCTGTAGACCCCATCCCCAGGATACACCCTGGTCTGTAGCTGTTGAACTCATTCCCAGGATACACCTTGGTATGTAGCTGTTGACCTCATTCCCAGGATACACCCTGTTATGCAGCTGTAGACATCATTACCAGGATACACCCTGGTCTGTAGCTGTTGACCTCATCCCCAGGATATACCCTGGTATGTAGCTGTAGACATCATTCCCAGGATACACCCTGAAATGTAGCTGTAGACCTCATTCCCAGGATACACCCTGGTCTGTAGCTGTAGACCTCATTCCCAGGATATACCCTTGTATGTAGCTGTGGACATCATTCCCAGGATACACCCTGGTATGTAACTGTGGACATCATTCCCAGGATACACCCTGGTCTGTAGCTGTAGACATAATTCCCAGGATACACCCTGGTATGTAGCTGTAGACCTCATTCCCAGGATACACCCTGGTCTGTAGCTGTAGACATCATTCCCAGGATACACCCTGGTATGTAGCTGTAGACATCATTCCCAGGATATACCCAGGTATGTAGCTGTAGACCTCATTCCCAGGATACACCCTGGTCTGTAGCTGTAGACCTCATCCCCAGGATACACCCTGGTATGAAGTTGTTGACCTCATTGCCAGGATACACCTTGGTATGTAGCTGTAGACCTCATTCCCAGGATACACCCTGGTCTGTAGCTGTAGACATCATTCCCAGGATACACCCTGATATGTAGCTGTAGACCTCATTCCCAGGATACACCCTGGTCTGTAGCTGTAGACCTCATCCCCAGGATACAACCTGGTCTGTAGCTGTTGACCTCATTCCCAGGATGTACCCTGGTATGTAGCTGTAGACATCATCCCCAGGATACACCCTGGTCTGTAGCTGTTGACCTCATCCCCAGGATATACCCTGGTATGTAGCTGTAGACCTCATCCCCAGGATATACCCTGGTATGTAGCTGTAGACCTCATCCCCAGGATATACCCTGGTATGTAGCTGTAGACATCATTCCCAGGATACACCCTGGTAT